CGGGGTCTGTAATGCACAAGATCACTTTCATCGTGTCTTGATGCCCCTGTGTTGCACGTTCCTCTGCTCCACACCTGCTAGCTGTGGAATGGACAGCGGGAAGCCATTGGAAGATGGGGGTCACGTGACTGCATGACAAAGTGAGAAGGGGATAGGGAGTTGCCATTTTTGGCGGTAGCCCCGCACTGTGCTTAATGTGCAGTTCCAACCCTCAGAAATCCCGTCCACCGTGTTTCTCACTTGGCCAGGTTCCTGCCGAGCAGCATCTGAAAACCGTAGTCAAAGGTCATCTGACTTTAGGATACCCAGGCTGAAGCAAGTGAGCAGTCTCCAGCCTACCTCTTCTCCCCGAAAGAGAAAAAGCCTACATTACAACTCACAGACTTATGCTCCCCTCTCCCCCACCCCACTCTACCCCACATGCAACCAATTCTCGTCTCACTTGCATCCGTCAGGATTGGGATGAACCGATACTCTGCCCCCCCCCCCGAGTAAACCATCCCTTCTGCACCAAGCAGAAGCTCTACTCTGCAACTGGCAAACAAAATATAAAAATTAACAAAATGGAACAGGTGCACTTTATGACTGGCCTACCTGAATGCAAGGTCGTGACACAGCTGGTTTAAACTGTCTATACTTCCCCTCCTCTTACCACACAAGTCTTTGCAATGCACCCCACAACCCATGCTCCCTCTAAGCTGTGCAGTCTTGTGAGCAAAAATTCTACTTTGTGAGCTACTGGCATTGAAGTTGTGAGCCAGCGATTTGGCTGCTGCCTAAATTAGTTTGCTCTGGAGCCCTCCTTCCTGAGCTGAGACAAAGATGGGTGAGCTGGAGGCTAAAAAACTGTGCGTTAGCTCACACTAACTCAGCTTAGAGGGAACACTGGTGGCAATTGGGAATGGAAAAGCTATCTTTGCCCCCCCGCCTTTCAAAGGAGGACATCTGCACTCACTTGTACTTAAAGTTTAGATTTTAATTTATTGTACGACTTAGTTATCTATTGTATGGTCAAATCTATCTTGTGACAACCTGAGGTATGTTATAGGCCTGACATATCCTTGGAATGGTTTACCACGATTATCCATTTCATAATCTCTATAGGTAAAGGTAAAGGTTCCCTTGCTCGAAAGCCAGTCGAGTCCGACTCTAGGGTTGCGGTGCTCATCTCCGTTTCAAAGCCAAAGAGCCAGTGCTGTCCGAAGACGTTTCCGTGGTCATGTGGCCGGCATGACTAAACACCGAGGCGCACGGAACGCTGTTACCTTCCCACCAAAGCGGTACCTATTTATCTACTTGCAATTTCTTGCTTTTGAACTGCTAGGTTGGCAGGAGCTGGAACTAGAGACGGGAGCTCACTCCGTCATGCGGCACCCGGGTCTCAAACTGCTGAACTACTGACCTTCCACAGCCTGCAGTTCAGCGTCTTAACCACTTTAGCCACCGCATAATCTCTATAGGACTGTATTAATACTGGGAAATGTTTATTTTAATATTGTACGCCAATAAAAGGTATTTGAAGTTAGTGACATCTGCACTCACTTGTACCCATCTGTACAATTCATTCCGAGCTAGTCACGAGCTATGTTCCCTCTAAGCTGTGGAGGCTTGTGAGCAAAAATCCTACTTTGTGAGCGACTGGCATAAAAGCTGTGAGTGATTTGGCTACTGCATGAATTAGTTTGCTCCTGTCGAGCACGTACTCTTACACTGTAAATTGTTAAATGACATTCGAGTGGAATTTATAGAAGCCCCCCTTAGGTTGGTAGCAGGCCAATCGGATAGAATCAAGGTACAATTTCTCCTTGCTTCACGAGATCCGGAGATCATTGAACTGACCGCTAAGTTTCTCTATTGTTTTATAAAACGGAAGAGTGACCCTGATCATATTAATGATTCTTAATTTATAAGTCTAAAAACTTAAGTTTAAAAGTTTAGAATGCCAATTTATTTTATGATTCAGGCATCTTTTGTATGGTCAAATCTAGCTTGTGACAACTTGAGTTAGGCCTGACATAGCCACGACTATCTATTTTATAATTTCTTTTGGATTGTATTATTGGTAAATGCTTCTAATATTGTATGCCAATAAAAGGTATTTGAATTGAATTGAATTAGTTTGCTCTGGAGCCCTCCTTCCGGAGCGGAGACAAAAATGTGTGAGCCGGAGGCTGGAAAACGGTGAGCTAGCTCACACTAACTCAGCTTAGAGGGACCACTGGTCAAAAGGTCTAGAAACCTCATTATTTAAACAACAGTCCACATTCTCCACAAGCTATCCAGGAAGTACACCTTGCACTTTCCCTGCGCTTGCACAAAAAACGACCACCTACGCACTGCCTGGCCCAACACGGCCAGCCCCCCTCTGCTTCCCAGGCTCCTCCCAACCCCTCCTCCCCCCCGGTGTACCTGTGACAGTGCTGGTGGCTGGGCGAGCGTGCAGGGCCACGTCGGGCTGCGGGACAGCCTGGGGGTGCAGCCCAGGGACCTGCTGGAGCTTGGGAATGGACATAATCGACTGGCTGCCCTCTGCGGGCGAGGGAGGCACCAGCAGGGGCTGCTGGGAAGACACTGAAGTCGGTGGCAAGTGCGGCGGCCGGATCTTCTCTGCCATGAGCTGCTCCTTAATTTTGTTGATCAGAACCAGGTTGTCGAGCTGCAGAAAGAGAGGCAGGTGACCACTAGCAAAGACGACCGTCACCCGTCCCGGGAACGAAGGGCGCCAGGATTCACAGAACCGGGCCGATGTCGTTCAACCCCTGGCTCCATGCAGGAAACCTAGAGCTCACGCTTTTCCTAGCGGATGACCGTTCCAGTCTCTGTTTGAAGACCCCCAGTGAAGGAGAATCAGTTACATGCCTAGGGGATCAGTTCCACAGACAAACTGCTCTGACCATTAGGGAGTTTCTCCGTCTACCCTCCGTTAACTTGAGCCCACTGGATCTGGTCTGCCCCTCTGGAGCAGCAGAGAAGAAGTCTGTGTTCTCCTCCGTAGCCCTTCAGATATCTTAAGGTGGCAATCAGGTCTCCTTTCTAGGTGACCGCAGACCAGATGCTCCCACCTTTCCTGTAGGAATTCTTTTCTGGACCCCAAGGACCTTTGCCACCCTCTTCTGAAAAACCCTTTTCCTATTTGTCCACATCTTTCTTAAAGTCCAGGACCCAGAACTGAATGCAGCTCTTCAGGTAAAACCTAACCAGTGCAGAACGGAGAGGAATTAGGGAGGTGTTATGGTTCAGGGGCAGAGCGTCTGCTTGACATGCAGAAGGTCCCCAGTTCAATCTCCAGCATCTCCAGTTAAGAGGATGACCACAATGGAGTCTGAGTCACAAGAAGACAGCTTTATGTGTTCTAAGTATTACTTCTACCTTGTCACTTGGATATTCTGCTTCTATTAATACATTCACATTTTTTTTACAGCCAGTTTGGGGTAGTGGTTAGGAGTGCGGACTCTAATCTGGGAGAACCGGGTTCGATTCCCCACTGCTCCACATGGAGCTGCTGGTGTGACCTTGGGTCAGTTACAAATTCTTTCAGAGCTGTTCTCTCATGGACAGTTCTCAAGAGAGCTCTCTCAGCCCCACCTACCTCACAGGGTGTCTGTATTGGGGAGGGGAAAGGAAAGGCGATTGTAAGCGGCTCTGAAATTTCTTTGGGTCGTGAACAATGCTCCCTCTAAGCTGTGGAGTCTTGTGAGCAAAAATCCTACTTTGTGAGCTACTGGCATTAAAGTTGTGAGAGAGTGATTTGGCCACTGCATAAATTAGTTTGCTCAGGAGCCATCCTTCCTGAGCTAAGACAAAAATGTGTGAGCCAGAGGCTAAAAAACTGTGAGCCAGCTCACACTAACCCAGCTTAGAGGGTATAAAGAGGGTGAAGAGCAGGGTATAAATCCAATCTCTTCCTCTGCTGTTCTTCAATAAATCCAATCTCTTCCTCTTCTGTTCTTCCCCTGATGCTGCCAACTCACTTTTAGCCTATCCACCAAGGCCCTCGTGGTCCTACAGGGGACAACGTAGCCGGGGGTGGGCTCCAAGCAACTGGTAAGAGCCACTGTTGTCCAGGAGACGACCTGTTGGATTTGGCCCAGCTGACCCATTTCTTAACAAAGCGGTTTCCAAAACGTCTAGACTCCTTTCCAGATAAGCTTAGCAGCCATAGAAGCTCTGCTGAAGATTCCAGGCAGTGTTTTAAGTGAAAACTCAGGTGTACGCTTACCTGGCTGGGCATGGTGGGAGGGGGAGGCCAGAAGTAGGGGTTGTTAAAGCGCGGCTCCGCCATCCTGAGGAGGAAGCCAAGAAAGAAAGAGAGAGAGATGGTTATAGGTCAGAAATCGGCCACACCTCCAGACGGGACTGCCTCCCTCCTCCCTCTCCACCCCACCCCACCTTATGGACTGGCCACATCATTAGTCTCACCCAAGCATAAATTGGGCAGGAGCTCAGTTGCAGAGTTAAAATTGTAGTGGGAGAAATAAATTAAAGGGGGGGAAAACACTTCAACCAATTATCGACTCTATAATGGCTTTTAAAAAAAAAGTTCTAATTTTTATCATAGACCAAACCCTCAAACAGAAAGAAAGAAAGAATATAACAATATATAACAACAGCAGTGGCAAGTTTACAGATAATCCTCTATAAAAGCTTTCCAAACATCTGAAAATATGTCCACGCACAATTGTCGTCTATACGCCCTACATTCAAATGCTGATAAGATTTTAAAGTCCTCAGTCCACTGGATTACGGGAGGTGAGCATTTATCGTTCCATTGTCGCAACAGAAGTCTTTTAGCAACAGTAAGGGCATGGAGAGGTCCATTGCTGTTGACCATCACTTAGTTCTATATATAGTGACTTCACCAATTTTAAAGTCACACCCTTGTCAGTTAAGTCATGGGTTAAAGACAGGGAGATGCATTTAGCTAAGAAAGTATATTAAGTATTTTTATTTACAGTGCAACTGCCCAAGAATAGTATCTGGGGTCTATCATGATCTCACTGTTCATCCCTAATGGAACCCCAGACACTTCCATTACAAATTTACTCATACAACTAAGCTGAAACCTCCTGACAGTATGTTTTTGGAATGGTTAACACCCTCGTCTCTTCATTGTTGCAGCCACACAAAAAAGCAGCTATTGCGTTGTCAGATAACCAAGTTTTTAACATTACGGGGTCCTTTGGAGCTTGGAACCCTATATGTGCAACGATTCATTCTCTGCATTCACTAGAGCTAGGGCAGTGATGGCGAACCTTTTAGAGACCGAGTGCCCAAACTGCGACCCAAAACCCACTTATTTATCGCAAAGTGCCAACACGGCCATTTAACCTGAAGACTGAGGTTTTACTTTAGAAAAACAACTCATACATTAACTTAAGATGATCCAAACAAAGTAAGGAAAGCAATCCCAAATGCTTTCATTTACTTAAAATTATTTGGCAGAGAATTCGACACTTTAATGATGGTCTGGGCCTGGCTGGGGCGATGGCACGCGTGCCCACGGAGAGGGCTCTGAGTGCCACCTCTGGCACCCGTGCCATAGGTTCGCCATAGGTTCGCCTGAGCTAGGGTCTCGAGAGACTTGATGCAACTTTTTAAAATGGAACAGCAGACCTGCGGCAAAAGGCAGTGGGGCTCAGGCCGTGACCCCCGGGGTGATAACAGGGGCTCTCGCAGGACTGCCTTGATTTTCGCTTACTAAAGGTGGAGGGGGCTCTGTGCCTGCCAAATCAATGTATAAGTGGAAGGGAGATCTTAGCAGAGGAGGGGACCTGCGATGTGGCTCTCCTCTCCCATACAAATACCTCTTTGTACCCTGCTTTGGGAAGCAGAAAACCACAGATGCTTCCTGGCCACGGCACAGATGGGAGGCTGAGCCGAGGGAGACAAATAATACAGTGGGCAGAGGCCTACTCCCCCTCGCCAAAAAAAATAACACCAACAGGCTGGGGGGTGGGGATGGGGGGAGAATCCAGAGTCTATCTAAGCGGACATATGGAAATCAAAGGAGCTGTCTAGAAAGAGGAAAAGAACAGCTCTGCTGAGAACACTGTTCTCGGAGCTGCTGCTAGTCTAGAGCCAAATGGGTGGGAGGGGTCTTGCCTCAAGGCATGCACAGAGAGTCACTTCTCATTATGCAGGGGGAGGGAATGTGCCTTCTGCACAAAACCCCTGTTATGTGTGACTGCACAGAGACCATTCAGAAGAGGAGAATAGCATAGTGCGGGGGTTTCAAACGTAAGGCCCGGGGGACAGACCTGGCCCATCCAGGGCTGTTATGCAGCCCACAATCAACTAGTGCAGTGCAAGGGAGGGAAAAGCAGACTCTTCGGTGGGAGCGAGAGGAGTCTCTCCGATTGTGGCTTCGGCATGGCGGAACAACCTCCTCTGCAGCAGGCAAGCATCACGGGAGCCTCTGCCCAGGGCTGCACCACTGGCTCTCCAGTCTGCCCACATGGCTTTTCCTCTGGACCCCCCCTCCCAGCCCATAGGGCCTTGCGGTGAGGATGCACCAACTCAGAGCTTACCAGCTGCTGTGCTTTATACAGTTTATATCTCTGGTACCTGGCATTACGTTTTATGGCACGCATGGCCTGGTCTGACAAAGTGACATTTATGTCAGATCCGGCCCTCATCACAAATGAGTTTGACACCTCTGGCATAGTGCTTAGAGAGTCAAAGTGGGAGATGGGCGACCCAGATCTGAATCCTCGCTCTGCCATGGAAGCTTGCCATGTGACCTTTGGCCAATCTCTCTCTCTCTCAGCCTAGGCTACCTCACAGGGTTGTCGTCATGAGGACCGAATGGCAGAGGGGAGAACAATGTCGGAACCTGCTTTGCTCCTCCACGGGGGGAAAAAGCAGGGTATATATTTCTCCATCTTAAAAAGAAAAACTGTGTTAAGGAAGTGGAGGGAAATGTTACCACATTTCCACACTGAGGCAGAAAACAGGAGACTCGTGGGAGTGGGCAAATTCTTATTTGCCAGGAGAACGTAAAACAACGCTGTCTCTTAGTAAGTTGGTCTCTTGCAGCCAAACAATGTGTGGGTTTTTCAGCTAAAAAAGCAGTTGAAGAAACAAGAGATTTGGAGCAGGGCGGCAGACTGGGAGGTGGGTTTGACCTTCCCTGTCATTTCTGAATGCAAATCACAGTAATATATGCAAATAAGCTCCAGCTCACGTTGCGTTCTGGGCATGGGCAGACATTTCATGATGTGCTGGCAAAGCAGCTGCCTGCTCTGACATTAGACTGTGCCAGGGTCACCCTGCAAAGATGGGTAGACCTACCCAAAATTAGAGACTGCCTTCCGGATTAGGGCCCCTTTATGCAGTTTCAGTTGGACCCTAAACTTGAAGCTCAACCAGCAGAACGGGCCGCTCTGCTGCTGACCAGGCAGAAGGGTCCTAGAACCAGGCCTGGCCTACCTAGACCAGCCACAAGCTTCAGTCCATGAAGAGCCTGACTCAAGTCCTAGAATCCCCAACATCTAAGACACACTCCTGCTTCCAAACCTTACAGTCTGGAGGGGTGGGAATAACTATCACAAAGAAAACCAGGATTCTCTACCGTGAAAATTAACTCTGCAATGTGCACAGATTGCCCGTATTTGCTTAGTCTATGTCATTTATCCTAGTAGTCCTGGAGGAAGGCAAGCAAGCGAAAGGAAATGAGTATTCACCGGGGGTCTCCCATCCAAAGACTAGTCAGGGCCAACCCTGCTTAGCATCCAATATCTAATGAGATCAGGCCAGGGGTCATTTCCTGCGGGAGCGCACAGGAGCGGAGCTCCAGCAGTAAGGAGCCCAGGGGGCAGGCACATGCAACAAGCCCTGCCCCCTGCTCCCAGCAGCCCTCAGTTGGGCCATGAGGAGCAAGAAGCAGCCAGGTAAATTGCAGAGCCTCCCCCCAGCCCGCCTTCAGGTACAAGCTCTCCCTCTTCTGTGACACCCCCCCTCCCCCCCCCCCCCGTCCAATAGCTAGCAATCCAAAACAGTCCAGTGGAGCCTGAGTGGTGTGTGTTGCCTTCTGACACACTTCCGGTGATGTTAGGGGGTGTGCCATATGCAAATAAGTTATGCTAATGAGTTATGCTAATGAGCTCCTGCACCTCTTTTTCTACGAAATGACCCCTGGTAAGGACCAGATCCAGATACTTGCCTTTCAGAAAGACACACACACACAAAAAGCAAGCAGAAAAGCTGCAAAACCAACAATCTGGATTCTACACCCGATTATCAGATTCCATCCACACACAGTGTAACAGGGTCTATACCAGCCCTTCCCCCTGCCCAGGATATGCAAAGAGGGACCTTCTGTGATCTCTTTATAAACCTCAGAGGTATTCAGATCCAGCTTTGAAAATGAAACAAAATTTTGAATCCCACCTCTCTGAGGTTGCCCACCTGGAGGTGGCACATGGAGATCTGCCATTACAACCGATCTCGGGACAATCGAGATCAGTTCCCCTGGAGAAAATGGCTGCTTTGGAGGGTGGATTCTATGGCACTGTGCCCTGCTGAGGTAACTCCCTTCCCTAAGCCCCACTTTCCTCAGGGTCCACCCCTAAAAATCTCCAGGTATTTCCCAATTCACAGCCGGCAATCCTCCCCCGCCCCAACTGTGAGGTAAATTAAAGGTAAAGGTTTCCCTTGCTCGAAAGCCAGTCGAGCCCGACTCTAGGGTTGCGGTGCTCATCTCCGTTTCAAAGCCGAAGAGCCAGCGCTGTCCGAAGACGTTTCCGTGGTCATGTGGCCGGCGTGACTAAACACCAAGGCGCACGGAACGCTGTTCCCTTCCCACCGAAGCGGTACCTATTTATCTACTTGCAATTTCTTGCTTTCGAACTGCTAGGTTGGCAGGAGCTGGAACTAGAGATGGGAGCTCACTCCGTCATGCGGCACCCGGGTCTCAAACTGCTGAACTACTGACCTTCCACAGCCTGCAGTTCAGCGTCTTAACCACTTGAGCCACCACAAATTAGGGTACTTTTTAAAGTCTTCCTCTTTCAGAGCAACAAAATCTTTAAAAACACCAAAACGCTTAAGGTAAAGAAAACAACACACGTTTGAAAACAACAACAAAACACAAGCGTCAGCCAGTGTTGCAATCACTCGGTGTAAACCCACTATAACAGCCGCTGCTGTTCTACACTGCCTGGGCATCAGAACGCGGGAGGGGAAGCGGGAGGACGAGATCAGAGGGGGACTCCTTTTAAAAGCTGCTGCCTATTTTTGGGACACGAGGGAAATGGGACGTGTGGATCGTTACAAAATCCGCTCA